TCTGAGTTTCGCTACAAAAATATTATTTTTGGTGCATTTGCCTTCCATTTACTACTGAATGGCGCATTTCAGGCTCGAAAAATGCTGTTCTCTTCCTTTAAAAAAAAATCAATGAAACTTTCTGTGGAAAATCTTAATTTTCAGCGCTAAAAAATACCAACACCTTTACGAGTAAAACTTATTATCGTTCAGCGATTATTCATAGCTATGTAAATAGGTATATAACACCGCTGACCACCTGCCTGATTCACCATATTTAATCTCTCCTCATAAGCTTTTCACTCATTCTAATCACGGGTTTATGTGTTTACAGCAAATCTCCCAAAAGAATTCTTTTCATCATTTTTACTCATCACGCCAAACAAATCCGCTGCCATTTAACAAATCTTCGCAACATGTTAACAAGTAAAATTTGTATGTAAGAATTCTTTTGATCTTTCTCAAAGGAAAATATAGAAAATGCTTTGAAATTAGTTTACGTTTGATATCAGCTGATTTACTTATATATATATATATATATATATATATATATATATATATATCTTAATAATTTTTTGAATATTTGCATAGTGTTTAGTGCCAAGTAAAAAATATTTTCAAATTGAGTCATAAAAGTGTATGACAAATATAAATAAAATAGGAGAGTGTACAAGTATATAAATGCAAAAATTGACATACAATTTGTAGGTACATTGATTTTAGCGTAAAATACAATATTTTTAACAAATTTTTGCGATACACGATTTTAAACATTTCCTTGTACTCATTTACGAAGGATGCTTGTTTGCAGTAATTAGTAATAATGAATTTCGTGTGACTCAAATAAATGTACATACAAATATACTCATATATATTCATCTCTGGGTGCAATAATTTAAAAATAAAAAAAAGTAAAGGAAAAACTCAAGAACGGGACTACATCTTGAGTTTTTTTTCACGCGCATAACAAGAATAAAATAAAAATAAATAATTAAAACTTTTTTAGTCTTATTATTCTCAAAAATATCCCATGCGATATTCATTGAAAGTGCGATTTAAGAAGCGTTTAATTTTCAGAAGACTCCGCGTTAGGAGAACAAAAATTCTGATATGCATTTTTAATCTACTAAAATATTATATAAGGTAGTCAAATATCTCCCTTCCGCTTTTTTGTCTTTGAATTTGGCGGCTATGTACAAAGCGCTACAGAGCTCGTATAAGGCAACACTATATAAAATAATTTGAAAGGTCTTGACATAACCTACAAAACAACAGTTATAGACGTGTAAACATGGAGTTCACTAACGCCGAAATTCGCGCTATTTTAAAGTTTTCCTTCGTTAAAGGCAAATCCGCTAGAGAAACGTTCCGTGAGATTAATGGTGTTTTGGGGGATGGTACTCTATCACTTCGAACCGCGGAGGAATGGTTTCGACGATTCAGAGCCGGTGAAAACGACACCATGGATAAGCCAGCCGGCGGAAGACCTGTGACGACAAATACCGATCAAATCATGGAATACATCGAGTTAGACCGGCATATGGCATCTCGTGACATCGCCCAGGAGATGGGAGTTAGTCACCAAACCATTTTGAACCATCTGCAGAAGGCTGGATACAAAAAAAAGTTTGATGTTTGGGTGCCGCATAATTTGACGCAAAAAAACCTTCTGGACCGAATCAACGCCTGCGATATGCTGCTGAAACGGAACGAACTCGACCCATTCTTGAAGCGGATGGTGACTGGCGACGAAAAATGGATCACATACGACAATATCAAGCGAAAACGGTCGTGGTCGAAGGCCGGTGAATCGTCCCAAACAGTGGCCAAGCCGGGATTGACGGCCAGGAAGGTTTTGCTGTGTGTTTGGTGGGATTGGAAGGGAATCATCCACTATGAGCTGCTCCCATATGGCCAGACGCTTAATTCTACCATCTACTGCGAACAACTGGACCGCTTGAAGCAGGCGATCGACCAGAAGCGTCCAGAATTGGCCAACAGGAAGGGTGTAGTGTTCCACCAGGACAACGCCAGACCACACACTTCGTTGATGACTCGTCAGAAGCTACGGGAGCTCGGATGGGAGGTTTTATCGCATCCACCATATAGCCCGGACGTAGCGCCAAGTGATTACCACCTGTTCCTGTCCATGGCGAATGCCCTTGGTGGTGTGAAGTTGAACTCAAAAGAGGCTTGTGAAAAGTGGCTGTCCGAATTCTTCGCAAATAAGGAGGGGGGCTTCCACGAGGAAGGTATTATGAAGTTGCCGTCTAGATGGAAACAGATCATCGAACAAAAGGGCGCATATTTTAACTAAATCCGATCACTGTTACACTTTTTTTAGAGCATTGAATGAAGAGCAAAAAAGCGGAAGGGAGATATTTGACAACCTTTATAATATAATGCAAAAAAAAAATTGAATTCGAGCAAAACTTTAAAGCGCGTTTGCTGGAGTTTTTATTTTTACAAGTCTTTCAACTAAAAAAAACAGTATTTAAACTCTTTTTATTGCCACTTGAAGTGTTTTTTTTTTCATTTATGTTTTTTTTCAAAATTTTGTTTTTCCAAACTTCGAAAAAAATTTGGAATTTTCCAACTCCTTCGGTATTTTTGAGTTCATATAGATGGGACACTCATAAAGATTAAAAATATTTGCTTCGACTGTTTCCGATGCATCGCACGACATCTATCAAGGGCACCATTTTACGAATTCAGACTGCACCCGCTTCAGAAAGTTCATAACAACATTGGGAAATAGCAATATTTTTTTTATACAAAAATTAGTTTTGAAGGTTGAATATACTACATTATGGCCTCAAAACTTTATTAACCGCAATAATTTCCCTCCCTTTCAAAAAAATGCTTTAAAAAAACTTGCTTTTTCGGGTTCTAAGCAAAATCCGATTTCGCGATTGCTATATAAATCTTCCTATTTCGAAATCAACGAAAAAATCGGCGGCAAAAATTGCCAGATTTAATCTTAGAAAAACTCGATTTCTCAATTTTTTTGCCAAATTTCTCAGAAATGTCATAAATACAAAAATTCACATTACGAATTTAATTATACACAATGCTTCTAATTTCCAGCTTACAGGTTTTGAACCAAACACCCGTTATATCAGAAAACCCACTCTTGGTCTTTTTCATAGACAAATCTCAAACTCTTTAAATTCAGCTTATTCAGGAACACTGGTTGTTGGTTTCACGACGCTAAATTTCATTTCAAATTGGAAAGATCTGAAAACTTGCTTTGAATTTCACCTTTAACAGCCTGATGATGGCATTCAGAATCAATTTGGAAGACTTCAGTCAATTCTTAGCATAATTCCAGAAACAATTGCGAATGCATGCAACGTACTCGTATCGGCGAAATGCATAGATAATCCGTGAAGCCGTCGGTACAGCCTATAATACACTCGATGAGCTTGACTTTTTTTGCCTCTGACAACGCCAAATTGATTGTAACCAATGGTTTACTGGCCAGTGAGTGAGAGACAACTGTTTCTCTTGATGTTTTTAAGGTGGCAGAGCTGCAGAACCGAAGCTTATTGCGAGTACTTTTAAATAAAGAAAATTAAATTTTCAAAATCAAAATTTTTTACTCTTCCAGAGTACATGCATATGAATGTGCACACATATATATAATTGGTGCTGAAGCGGTATTCGGCCGAGCTCCTTCTTCAATCTGTGGTATGCCTCTTGAGATTTCCCAACAAATGGACGGGAAAACTCTAAATGCCAGTTTATATTAAACCACCCACGAACGTCAAATAGATTTTTATTAAAAGCTATTTATTTAATGCCAAAATACAGTGAGAGAGCTGGATATTATCTGCCGAGGAGCGACCGCAATGGTTGGTCAAACCAGGACTCGGCCTTCCGAACGGCAGTACGATGTGCTAATCACTTGACTATTGCAGCCGCCTTACATACATATATTTCAAACAACATACAATGTCTTTATATGGATCATAGATTCGAGTTCTGGTTATAGCAACTCGTTGTGAAAACTCGTTAAAAATATATTAAGCGGTTTAAAAACTTCAAATATTTGCAATTTTACAAATATGTTCAGTTTTCTAACATTTTATATTATATATGTATAGTTTGTAAAGTTGCTTTTACCCATGTATGTATGTATGTTTATATGTGCGAACATTTTTACTGCATTTTAAGGTCTTGAAACTTCAAAAAAATTCATTTTTTTGATAGTTTTTTTTATAAAAGTACAACATGTCAGGAATATTTTCCCCAAGTTTCAAGTCGATCGAAACGAAATTGTAGAAGTTAGAGAGTTTTTTAACCCGCCGTTTTTGACATGGCTTGACCGATGGCGAAACTTTAAACGCGTTTTTCTTAAAACCACTTTATCGAAATCAGTGAAGCGATCGATTTCAAATTTTCCACACTTCTTTTAAGCATGGTGTTGTAGTCCCTGAACGAAGGATTTATTTTATCTTTTATTTCAACATTTTACAAGGCAATATGTGGCCTAATTTTATGAGAAAAATCAAAATTTTTGTAAAAAACGATAAAAAAAAAATTCAATTTTATTTATTTTTTATTTATTTTTTTTTCTTCATTGAGGGACAAGGAAAATTCACCGACTTTGAGAAAAAATTTGGATTTGATATTTCAGATAAAAATTGAAAAAGTTATCATGACTTTCGCGAAAGCACTTTCTTGTGGACGGTCTACTTCACGACACTGCCAACGCCTTAACTTATACTATTTTTCATTCAAATTTTCATCAAATGTTGTCCACATTTTGTACTTTTATATGTAAACAAAATAACTTGTATACTTTATTAGGTATCTTTTAAAAAAATTAGAGAAAATAAGCTTTTTTGGCCTTCAAGATCTATGTAACCCCTTAAATTTTGTTATTTTTGTAAGTTTTTAATCTTACTTTCCTATCCACCTATCCATGTACCTAAATAAAAATGTAAATGTGTGTTTATGTATGTAGTTCACAATTGAATCATACATATCTACATAGTAAGTCTACTGCTTCAACTAACCTGCGATGCTGAAGGATAGCCACCATATCCGAATTGTGCATAGGCTGCCATTGTTATTTTGTAAGTAGTTGTTTTTTTTTAATATAATTTAATATTTTCTGCTTATTTGTTGATATTTTCTTCTTCTATTTTTGTTTTTGGTAATAAATATTCAAGGTTTATATTGCACAATTCTTTTATTGCACAAAATTTCTTTATTTATTTGTTTTTGTCTTAGGACTAACCACTCGTACCCGCGAAAGCTAGAAGTTCGTATGAGTATGTTCTTTATATTTTAAGATATTTAAATTCATTTGGAAATTTGAAACACTTTTATTTTTTTATATTTTAGTCAATTTCCTTATTTTAATTCGCACTCAGTTCTTTCGCTTGTAGTTTAGTTTTTTATTTTTTTTCACCGTCATTCGTAAACAATCGTTTCGAAAACTTCTCACAGAACACCACTTCAAAAATAAGCCCGCTTACTTCCTGTCACGTGAAGATGCACACACTACACTGCCAGCGCCACAAGGCAGGATTCATTGCCAAAATGTGGCTACAAATAGCACAAGAATAGACACTGCGCATATAGCCACGCGCAACTGAGTTCAAAATTCCTTAGCGTTAATGTGGCAAAGCGTCAACCCAAATGGTTCATATGTGTATATATATATGTATGCATGCATGTATGCATGTACGTAGATAATGTCAAACGGACATGTAGGACGTCAAAGCCGCCGATAGAACACAATACCAAACACTAAATAAAACGCGACGGTGTTGGCGGCGACGGCGTTACAACAACAGTACACGCTATGTAGCACATTAGCGCACGCAAAGCGAATAAACCATCACAACAAAGCAATGAAAGCAATAATACCGAATAACGTCGAAATCAAGGCGCACGCAAAAAATCACCCATCTACGTATGTACATATGTATGTATATATGTTTGTATATATGTATGTATGTATAATTATTACGGGAAGCTTCTTCTTCACAACTACATACTTTGGCTCACGCGAGCACAGCACGTCAACGTCCGTTTACACTGGTGCAACACCACTCACGCTCGAACACGAACTGGTTGGATGTGCCGCTCTAGTCGAGCGCCAAAGCTGTTGCCGCCACGCAATCACGCCAATGAGTCCAACAAGAAACGCTCGATTGCTGTGTTGCAAACATTTATTGTTATTGTTGTTGCCAATAATTGTTTTCTGTTGCTTTTGATGAAGATTTTAGCCTTTGTGCTTTGTGTTGTTAAGAAAGCGCTAACAAGTGCTCCCCAGTTAGCTGAAGGAGCCTCAAATAGCAGAAGTGAGAAAGAGATGAATAATATAATTCCCCATGTTTTCTTATAAGAAAAAAAACTCATGTTTATGCTCTCACTGCAGCCGCGATACAAAGGCAGGTGTGCGCTCAGCGAGTATTTTGAGCGACGCTTGCGACCGCCCACTTTCAACGTTTAACTCTTCACATCGCTTCACATTGTAGCGAGTAAATAAATGCAGCAGTTTGGCTACTCGGCGCTTTCGACGGCACTCGCTGGCTGGCACTTTCAGGCATAGCATGCGACACACACTGGAAGTGAGCTAGTTGGGCTTGCCTTTTTCTAGTTGCTTACGGCATACCGTTTGCGCCGCTCTTACTCTTTTACCTACACATAATTGTGTCGCACTCACACATTAGTGCTCACTTCTCCACGGCAACAAGTTTCCATTCAAAGCATTGTTGTTGCCAAGTCGTTTGCAGCTCTACTCCGCTGGGGAAATAAAGTAAACAGTTGTTACTTGTTATTGTTGTTTTCCGTTGTATGTCAGCCAGCCAATGGGAGAGCTTTGGTGTAACATAGTTGTTGTTGCTGTATTAAGTGCTCAGGTGCGAGTTGTCTTGACTAAACGAGTAGATAGGGTTGCTGTAAACGCGGAAAAAAGAAATAGAAAAATAAATTCAACACCACCAACAACAACAACAACAAAAGCAAGAGCCCAAGCATCAGACTCGTAGTGCGCGTTACAACCATTATTTTTTTGATTTCTTACATGGCAACAGCAACAACAACACACTGCTTGTGCCTAGCATATGGGTTATTGTCGAACGCCTAGCTGCAGTGTTGCTAGACCATGGCCACACCCCTTTGTTTTGTATTGTAGCCTTTGCGCTGGTAGTGTCTAGGCTTTCCTTGTGCTTGCTTACCACGCCGTCACAAGTGTTGTTGGCTTGGCTTAACTGTTTTTTGCTTGTTTTTTTGTTTTGTTTTGCAGATTTTTATTTCCATTGCCTTTCTGTGTTTCATTTTTTTATTCTTTGGTTTATTTGTAAATTCTCTTCGACCAACCGTGAAGCGCAAATACGTACATACATACGAGTGTACGTAGCAACAAAACGACGCCAGCGCATTGTTCACACTTTTTCCTTCTCTGTTATGGTGTTCCGCTTTTATTTTTTGTTTTTTTTTTGTTTTTTTGTTTTTTGTTTTTTTGTCTGCTCCTCCATTGTTGTTGCTATAGTTATGCGCTGTTAGTTGGTAGAGGTGCTCGCTAACCATTTTGCAATGCAATAAAATGGCCTTTCACTCCTTTTCAGGTAAATAAACAGTCGGACCATGTCGGCGAGCAGCATAGCATAGCTTTCATCGTAGAAGAATGCATATTCCACAGTTTCAACGTCCGCATATGGTTAAGAAGTTCAATTGGCTTTAAAAATGCATGTTTGTATGGTTGTTTTTATCAATTTTAAATATTTCTAATACATATTTTCTATTGATATAAATTAGCATTTGGGCTTTGCATTGCATTATGAATGCGCAACAGAAGACTTAAGGAACAAACTTTTGAAAAGGATGTTTTAAATATTTTTTTCGGTTTCAATGAATTCGCTTTATGTAATTCCGTTTTCGAAAGTAGTTGCTAAACAATAATTAGTTTATATTCATAAAGTAGCAATTTTTGGAACTTTTCAGTAGCATAAAAAATGTTACATTTGTGTTGCTAGATTTTTTTTCCATTAAAAGGTTTTAAGCAAATTCTGACCGTAATGGACCAATTGGGTTTTTCTTTGTATTCAATTCTTTGGCGTACCCCAGTAAAATAAATAGAAGCGCATTGAATTTTGTTGTAATTTTTCTCTAATTTTTATTGTGTTATATTTTTTTTAAATATTTATTTATAAATGATATTAAGTAAGACTTAAAAAATATTTCATATTCTACATAAAAAAACATATAAACTCAAATCCTTTCTAAGAAAATGGATATACATATGTACATATATGCATTAATCTATATGAATTTTATTTATTGTTTTAATAAGGAATGGAGCTACCGCGTTTGTCTGCTACTAGTTTTAGTCAGCGTGGCATTGAATTGGTTATATTTATTAGTACGGAAAGGTCTGTTTTTCCCCATTCCTCTACAATTGCGTACTTAATCCATTAAAACAAAACCATATATAAAACCATTTTCTTTTTTTAATTCATTTATAAGGCCTTTGTTAAAATGTTGTAACTAAATAACTCTTAAAAAATGTCAGCTGCACCCAAGCGAGTGCAAAGGGATAACGAGGGGTATCTATGTAAAGTTGCAGTGATATAAAAAAAAATAATTTATTCTTTTATGACTGTAATAATCTAATTTAATATTTATAACTTGTTATTTTCAATTTTTCAGTTTTTATGTTTCAATTTCAAATATTTTCATTTTATGAATTATTATAATTTTCACTTTAAAGCGATTCAGATCTTAAAAATTTTTACTTTTTAAAAATAAAATACACATAAATTTTCATAAATATATTAACATACATACATATATAATATTTAAATAGTATGATAATTTTTGAATCATTCTCTCTTTATGCAAAATGCTAACAACCATCCAAAGCTTACCAATCCACACTCCGTACACCTGAGCTGGTACGGAATTAAATTGGAAAAATGTACGGTTGAGAAGACCTGGTTCGACCAACATACAAATTTATGGAAAATTAATTTTTTTGATTGCGACGAACTCTCGGCAGCAAATTTCAAGCCCTCAGCTCAGCTCAGCTGAATTAAAAGCTCCTCGTATAAATCCATCGGCCTTTTTGAGCCAACTTAGTATAAACTGTAAGTCCCTCCATTCGTTTGGAAAAACATCAACACGCAAAACCACTAGCTGGAAGAGATGGCCAAGCTTCTCCTTTAAAAAAATTAAAATTGCAAATAGTTACTTGGATATTCGAAGTAAGCCACTCTGAGCGTCACTTGCACCTTCGAAATGTTGACTACGCATGAACTTGCCTTTGATGCCAAAAAAGTCAACCATAATTTTTTCCCACGAAACAGTGAGCATTTAAAGCTTGGTAGTGTAAGTCAACTGCTCCCAGGTCCGAGTTGTATTTCCCGATTAACTTTGGCTGATGGAAATTCACCTTACGTCCTTTCCTTTATGACCGTCGTTTGACGGTATTCAACGGTTCAATTGTAGCGCAGTATGTTTCCACGACCATAACGCTATTGTCATTCCATTTGATAAAGAGAATTTCAGAATCAGCATACCTACAATTTATGGTAGAGAATTACAATTGGAATAGTTTTTCAGTCGCCTTGAAACCGTTTTTTAAATATCGTCGGAGGCCATCATCGTCTGATGCGGGGTATTTTCTAAAGTTTAAGAATAACTTTTGAGCCTAATAGCAGACATTATATAGGACGTTCAACCGCTTTAGCCCTGCCGTAACGGTAGAAGTAAAATATATAAATATCCACTGCTACTCTCTTAAGCAATTTTTATCATAGACTCGACAATGGAAAGATAGTCCCCTTGCACCCATGCGAGTACACTAAAATTCAAGCTTACCGAAAAGCACTTTTCTACCCTTTCTGTCTTATGTGTGTTCAAAACTAGTTGGACTTTAATATGTTCTTACCAAGCTTCCATAAAAAGTACATAAAGTCTTAAGTGTCCCAGAGTTAAATGCTAACCAACCCATGAAATTGACCATATCTACAAAGGTGAGCCCTGACATAAGCGAATGGCGGATAAACGGATCTCTTATGTGAGCACCGAAAACTTTGTGTTCATTCATAATATCTCGCAGTATCATAAACTGGCGTGCACTTGCCAGATCATGCTCACGTCTGCTGCAGAC